GGGTTCTCTATTTTTCAATAACTCCTTGATTCCTTCACTTTTTCATGTACTTGGCGTAATTTTTTTATTTTTTTGAAGTTTTTTATCGAATCTTACTTTTTTTTACAACGATAATTTGCATAGTGAATGACTTTAAATAATTTTTATATTATATGTATGTAGTACTTTGTGTAGAGTTCATGGTGCCTGAAACAGCTTATGGTTGCAAGAAATTGAAATGTTAGAGATGAAGTGAGAGATAGGAAAATATGTCCACTATGTGTAATGCACAATTTATTGTATTAGAATTAAGTTCATAAGTATGTAGAACGTATGGCAGAAAGTCTTGTTTCAAGAAATTTAAATGTTGAAGGTAAAGTAATAAAATTAAAAAATAGATCCACTATATTTCTTAATATATCTATAATATTTTTAATATCTATAATCTAAAATTCGTCCACTGTATATCGATAATATTTTTAATATATATAATCTAAAATAATTCATATGAAATAATATGAAGAAATGAATTTTTTAGTTTTGTGATTTATATACACAGACTCTTTATATTTTAATTGAATAGAGGAAAAGAAAAGGAAAGGGGGTAAAGAAAGTGAATATATATATGTATATTTCATATGATATTAATTTATTAATTATAAGCATTTGTAAGAGAGTCGACCAGGAGGGGTTTACGGGTGGACAATTTGCGAAGAAAGTTTTACTGCTACGTGACATCGGGAAATTTTCTCCGATTAGCACGGCCACTTCTGGCATTGTTACTCAAGCATTGGGGCTCGCGTAAACCAATCTTGGCCTAAGGGGTGACTCGGCCTCGAAGCCTAACGGTTTCGGTGGTAACCAGTCATCACGTGTTAGCCCTGGAAAAACCCCAGAGTTGCCGAGTCGCTGTTCACCCTCAGGCTCATCGTGCGGGAGGCTCTGTTCCTCTTTCTCAATGTACCACGCTAAGGATGTAAGGGAAGAGAGGACACGGACCTTGGACAGCGACGAACTGGGTAGAGGCCGGCAAATCAGCACACAGCGTGGTAGAATCAAGTCAGACATCTTTTAGTCAAACAGTCATTATTCGTACACAGTTCACATATCTTACACATCCACACGACAACGCAATAAATATAGTTAATTTGAGTAACATCTCCATGTGTCCGAGTTTATACACGGTCCCAAGCTGTACAACTTGGGTGGTCCTTCACCATAGTGATTAGACGACACGTAGTGCAGTACTCACGGCTCGACCAACCCCTAACAACATTTATTCATTCATTTCATGAATCAATATAAATACCAGCAAATTTGTTATGCACACCGTATCGTCCTATGCTTCAATTATCTGTAACACATACAAACCATATTTTAGTTGTAAATTAATATAGAGCTTAAAATAAAAATATAAATCATAATTTTCATACTAACATTAGATACAGATCACTTAATTTCTTCCATTGTACACTCTGTCAGGTCGCAGTATATTTTAACTGTAATACTTGCACGATTCTTTTTGTGATATTTTAATAATTACTACCAGATATGCTTCACTCAGATAAAATACTAGAATTTCACAGCGGCAGCACGTATTTTTGGAGAGCATCAAAATACTGTTGCTTCGTCAGCAAATTATCTGCTTCATGAAACAAGCAATTCATCTCCTCGTTTCCTCTGATTGGAATGACTGTAGCTGCTTAGATCAATCAAAGACTGTGGAAACAGAAAACGCACAAGAATTTACAACGATAGTACATATACTTTAAGCACACAAAACTGCTTATAAAATAATGGTAAACACTATCTACTTTTAATCGTGGATTTCACTTACTCTTTTATTGATAATGTTATATGCTCCTCTTGTTGTAATAGGTAAAAAATATGTCGCACTGCTAAAACAACTATGATGGTTTTTTAATGCGTGCACACACGTATTATAAAGCAACATTACTGTCTCTTGTGCATTATTTCTTGTAATATCTAGTGACATCTTTTTCTTCTGTCTTAATAACCTGCATCAAGTTATTCCTCACTGTAACCTATATCTGTCAAACGAATCTGTCAAACGATATACACGTATTTCTTATGCCGGCTGATGAGCTCTGCCAAGCTCTGTTTCAGGTCAGGTTGAAATCGCCGGTTTACGAGTAAAGATACGTGGTAGTGGTAGCGTCAGCGCCAATACAGTATACAGGGTGGCAGATAATTGTTCATGTACTTGGCGTCGAGACGCTACCGCGTCTCTAGATTTGATTGTGTCCCCGAAAGTTCCAATGGATCGGACGATTTTTACGTTACCCTTCCAAATAAGCGAGTTTATTATATGAAAATATTAAGGGAAACCCTCAGGGTATATATATTTTTGAATAAAAGGTGCTGAAATCTCATGCCTTCATTGTAGCAGGTAGTAATTTTATTAAGCGCATTGACTCTGTTAAGAAACATTCTGAAAATAAAAGGAACCGAATAACTTGAGAATATTAATGCGCGGATACAACGGCTAGTACCTTTGTCACGTGAACGTTAAAAGAATTCTTTTGTGCCTTAAGGCACAAAATGCTCGTTAATCTCGCAAACTTTATTGCTGCGAAACAGTTTTAAATTCTTTGGGAGTACCGAGGCTACTTACAGTGGTTCACATTCAGGACTGCTTCATAACATGGGTCGAAATGAAAATATACAATCATTAAAGGGATACCAAATTATATTGTCAACGCACAAGTTTGCCTTTTTCAACGGTTAAGTATAACTGGTAAATATGCTGATTGACCAGCAGAATATTTAAAATAGACGAAAAGTAAAAAGTTCTTGAACATTAAAAAAAAAAGATGCATTTATCGGTACATATGAATAAATTTTTAAAATTCATATCCTTTCCAAACACTAAGCAAATATACATTTCATATATAAAACAAAGTGTCTTTTCAGAATACTACATAAAGATCTATGCAATGTTTGCAAAAACATATTGAGTTTCGAATATTACGTGTACATATCACATCTCAAATGTACCAAAAAATATTGTATTCCTAATATCGAATAAACATTTATTTTACATGTGCAAACATATATTCAGTTGGGAATATTAGATAAATATATGCTTTATCTAAGGAAAAAAATATTCTGTTGTGAATATCAAATTAATATGTATATTATATTCGTGAAAAAAATATTGTATTCTACATATTGAATAGATATTTATTTTATATTTAAAAAAAAATATTTTTTTTTAATCTAGAATAAACATCATATGTGTACTTAAATATTAAAATGAGATTAAATCTCTCTTTAATATTGGATGAATATGTATTCAATATTTTGTGCTACTAGGGAAGTAACCAGTATATAATAGTTTTCAGAGAAATTCATTTTTATAAATTATGCATTAACATTACTACATTTTTATTGAAAAATATTAGTCAATTTTCACGACAATTTGTGTATTTAAACTACAGATCCAACTACGAAATACTTATTTTCTGAAATTTTGTTTTCTTGCATTACATAAAATTATCCTATTTGTAATGTACTTACATTCTGTGCAAAATGAAATTCTTAAAGTCGTATAATTTAAGAACTGGAAAACTCGTATGTCGTTCCGGTAGCATAGGCCCCGCAGGCGCTTCTCCGGCATACTCGCGCTCTATTTGGTCGGGAGTTTCTGTTTCTGGAATATCTCCTTAACGAAGTCTCGAGCAACATTTTCGCTAAGGAAAAATTGTTTCAACCCCCCCTCCCCCGCGGAACAAGTCTTTTCAAGGACATCCAACGTTTTTGGGTCATCCTGTATATTGCTCATAACTGTTGTTATTGCGTGAAACCTATTGGTTACAGATTGCCACTAAAAAGAGTGAAATAAAATAATTTTTTGAAAAAAAAATTAAACCGACTTCAAAAAAGGTACAGTGAAGAGTATGAAATAATTTCTAGTTAATTTATGTGAATACGCACTAGCTCTAGATATAATTGCTTAAAAGTATGGGAAAATGCAGTGAAAAGTGTGAAATAATTTCTATTTAAACTGCATTGTTATTCACCATCGTTTGATGAATTTGGTTAAATTATTAAATACATCATATTAAATGCAATGCACCTTTTTCGGAGGCGGCGCAAAATTTAGAATTAGGTATATTAAAAATTGCTAAACTTGGTTTAACTCTCTGTCGGAGAAACAAAAAATATGGTCTTTATTTATTCCTATCATTATATCCGCTTTAGACATCATATTCATTAACACTATTCAATATCGCTGCCCCCACCAAATACTATCCCAAACCTATTCATACAGTATTTCCATGTGGAGAGTTTATACATTAGCAGTAATCAATACGGCCGCCACTCCTCTCCAAAAAAGCCCCAAATCTACTCACACTAAATTTCCGTGTACATACTATATACTTTAACTATTAATTCCTCATAGACAATAAACATGTATACATTGACAGCATTCAATATTGCCGCCTCTACTAAAAGCTAACCCAAACCGGAATTAAAAAATGTTTACATCTGCGCCGCCTCCGAGAAAGGTGCATTGTATTTAATATGATGTATTTAATAATTTAACTAAATTCAAACGATGGTGAATAACAATGCAGTTTAAATAGAAATTATTTCATACTTTTCACTGTACCTTTTTGGATGACGGTTACATTTTTTTTTCAAAAAATTATTTTATCTAATGCTACTATCGAAAATGCTTAGATATAAAAACGTACTTACTGATTTGTGCTTTCAATACAATTCATTTTAAGTATCGCTTTTAGATACACTTACATTGCCAAATATTGTAAGTATTAAGGTTGCCATCGTTCATAAACGATTCTAACAAACCCTTAACCATAAAGCACTACATTACTTACGTTTTAGAACCTCAGTCGACGTCTTCACAACGTCCTCGGCTTCATACTTTTTTTACACGGGAGATGAAACAGTTCACGATACTAAGTTTGCTCCTCGTTCGATTCTTTCCTGCGAGTGACACTGTTCTCCACCTAAGCCAAGAATGAAAAGAAAACCCACCAAAAGAAACAATTCAATATAGGCACAAGTAAAAACGGAGGCATAACATTTCTTTTTACCTACAACCTATAATTTTCGAAAATGCTACTATTTAAAAATTTATCGCTGAAGCGCATCGATCGATGAATGATTATAGTGCACCTCAGACGTGGTTTATTTACAGTATTTCGAAATTATAGCACCTGCCAATCATTCTACTGGTCTGAGGGACTGCGTTTCTTTCTTGAGGGAAACATTTCAAAAAAAATATAGAAAATATGAAAACAAGAGAGGGAATTTGATCGAGTGTAGAGACATTGTGACCAGTCATGTTTCAGTCACCCTACGGTATGGATCGTGCGGTATTACAGTACTATGGTTTCCCCATAACGTTTCTGTCATGCATTGGACTCTGGCCTTACCAAAGCACAAAAGTGCAGCGGTTCCTGAATCCTGTACTCAGCCTTCTCTTAACAATTTTTCTAATAGCTCAGGTACAATTAAGAAATTTAATTTTTTGAACTCGCATATAAATTAGTATATTTTATCACGCACAATTTATTACTTCTATCTCTATAATTTTCGTCCCATTCAATCTGATAAACCGTTTGATTATTCTGATTAACAGATAAAAATTAACAACTAATAGTTTATTCTTCATAACTTAAAAATCTTTGACCTGCTGATATACAATATTCTAATAATTACTTAATTTATTCTGTACACTTAGTAGTTCATCAGGTCAGAACATTGTAACAGGCATAAGAAAATTCACGAATGAAACGAATGATTGGTGACAATTATTTTTGTTTAAATTATTTATTTATAATGGTCGCATGAACAGCAAGATCATTAGCGACCACGGTATAACACACAGTTACAAATTAATTACAAATTAATCGCACATATGCAATAGTTAAACTTTTTTATATAAGTCTACACTTTTTAAAAATGAAAGAGTCGCAGTGATATTTCTAAGACTGTTAAGGCGGTCACGGAGATCTGTCGGAAGTTTGAAATTTAGTGGTTTAGATTAGAATATTGGGCAGTCAAGTAATACATGTTCAATAGATAATTTAACACTGCAGGAATTATAGATCGTAGGTGGACTTTTAGTAATTTTGTAGACATGGGTCATATTTGTGTGGCCGATTCTAAGTCCCGTAATAACAACCTGATCCATCCTGCCAGTAATATCACGGCATTTGTTATTAAAGACATCTTTTCTTACTTTAAATAATTTGGGTGGTGGTGAGCTGATCCAAGATTCATTCCAACAATTTTTAACTCTTATTTTCAGTTCCCTGTGTTGTGGGAGATAGGGAGGTTTTGGGATAATGACTTTGCTGCATCCTTGGCTGCTAAATCGGCTGTCTCATTTCCTCTAATTCCCACATGTGAGGGAATCCATACAAACACAATTTCTTTATTGTTATTTTGAATAGTTGAGATTAGCTGGAAAATATGTTGAATTATAGGTTCTTAGTCTTCAAGATTTGCTAAGCAGGTGATGACACTCTTAGAGTCTGAGAAAAGTATGAATTTGTGTTCATTGGAGTTGATAAAATTAATTTTAAGGCCGTTAGAACAGCAAAGGCTTCAGCGAAAAAACTTGAGCAGAAATCATGGAGTTTATGTGATATACAATCATTCGGACAAACAACAGCGCATCCTGTTCTTTCATCGGATTTAAAGCCATCGGTATAGATTTGGACGTGGTCAGAATATTTTCGTGAAACTTCATGAAATAGGTTTTTGTAGGTGTCTTGGTTGGTTTGTTCTTTACAGAAGTCAGACAGTGATATATCGATTATAGGGTTAGGTATTAGCCAGGGAGGAATGTTCAAGGTAGAAGTAGGCATTGTTGAGGGAACATCTTGGATTATATCATTTAGATATATTTTAAGTCTTTGAGAAAAGAATTTGGTAAAGAACTTTTAGCAGTATAATTTTTATTATATCGGATCGAGAAAACGTTCTTATGAGTAGGGTTTGAAGGTGTAGTTGATAGTTTCATAGCGTATGTCAAGCTGAGTTCCCTTCTTTTAAATTCTAGGGGTCCTTCTTCAGCTTCAGCTAGGAGATTTAGGATGGGACTTGTTCGAAAAGCACCTAAGGCTAGTCTTATGCAGTTAGATTGTATGACATTTAAAGAATTCAAGGTATTTCTATTTGCAGAAGAAAAAACTATAGAACCATAGTCTAATTTAGATCTTATTAGTGCTTTATAAGTATTTAGAATAATTGCTTTATCAGCACCCCAATTAAAGGACGAAATTACTTTGATAATATTCATTCTGCGCATACATTCAGTTTTAAGATATTTAATGTGAGCTTTCCAAGATAATTTGTGATCAAATAAAATACCAAGTATTTTGATCTGGTTTGTTCTTTTGATATCTTGAATTTCTAATTTTAGCTTAATATTTGGGTGAATTTTGTATGACCTAGAAAATATAATATATTCGGATTTATTCTCTGAAAATTTGAAACCGGTATTATTAGATCACTCCTGAATTTTGTGTGTCTTTGAGAATATGTTGAGTGGTGATCATATTTTTGCCACTACATAAAATTGAAATGTCGTCAGCAAAAATGCAGAATTTTACCGGGCGAGGGATGACTGAGGAAACTTCGTTAATTGCAACAAGAAAGAGAATTACACTTAGAACAGAACCTTGCGGTATGCCATTCTGTATTTTCACTTTTTCTGATAGAGTTCCATTTGCCTTCACTTGCATTAACCTATTGCTCAAGAAGTTACTAATAAAGTGTAGCATTTCTCCATCAACCCCGATGTCCGCCAGAATTTTGATGACTCTGTCCTTTCAAACCATGTCATATGTCTTTTCAATATCCAGGTTGACAGCTACTAAGTTGTCCAGTAATAAAAGTATCACCGATTAGTGTCTCTATTTTTACAAGGTGATCTGTTGTGTTTCTATATTTCCTAAAGCCAAATTGATATGGGGTTAAAAAACCTTTGTTGTCCAATAGCCAGAGGAGTTGCTTATTTATTTAAAGTTTACATAAAGTGAAGGTAAGAGCTACAGTCTACAGTTTTCAGCTTTGCTGGGATTATTATTGGGTTTGTGGATAGGGATAACAGTGGATTCCCTCCATTTGTCAGGAAAGGATTTAGATAGCCATATTTCATTATACAAATTTGTTAAGTAGACCAACGCATTGTTAGGTAGATACTTTAGGAAGATATTGAAAATGCCATCAGGTTCTGGACAAGAGTTTTTTGTGTGGGCTAATGAAGTTTTAACTTCCTTAAGCTGAATAGGATAGTTAAGTGCTATATCTGAAGTAGAATTAAAAGCAAGGGAATTTTGTATTTTAATTTCAGACGTATCTTTAAACATGCGGAAGGTATCAGTGTAATTCGCATCACTTAAATTATTTGCAAATGTTGAAGCGAGGTGGTTAGCAATCTCACTTGGGAGAGTTTTAATTTTATTATCTGATATGGTAAGTGGGGAGTTTGTGGAGTGTTTCTTAATTCCATTTATTTTCCTTATTTTATTCCATACGGAGGAAGTAGGAGTGGATGTGTTCATAGTGCTAATGAAATGTTCCCAGGATCGCTTTTTATTTTCTTTAAAGATTCTACGAGCAGTGGATCTAAATTTTTTGTACTGATTTTATTGTCTAATGTTGGGTGACGTTTGACGTTACTAAATGCTTGTTTGTAAGCCTGTAAGGCTTTCAAACACTTGTTACGAGCCGAGGGCTGTGAGGCTTCTTTCGGCCGTGTTGCCGAGGATAGTTGTCGTTTGGACAATTTTGTTAACAGGGATGTGCTTTCGTGGACGCACCTACGTATGGCTAACGTAGGGTTGCCACTAGGAGGTTGGAAAGTTGTCGTGGACGCGCCAGCGTATGGTTAATGATGGGTTGCCACTAGGAGGGTGGATGTCGTGGACGCGCCAGCGTATGATTAACAAAGGGTTGCCACTAGGACGTTGGATGTCGTGGACGTGCCTACGTATGGCTAACGTAGGGTTACCACTAGGATTTGTTAGTTGGGGCCTCGTAACTTCTACTATGCAATACACCTCGAGCGGTAAAGGTGTATTGCTGTGGGTCTCCTTAATTTAATAATTCAATAGGATAGGTACTGAAGAAAATAGTTAGGATTACTCTACTAAACTATGTATGTATTTAAAGGTTTAATTAGGACTATACAAATGTTTTCTGTATATATCGCGGAAACTAATTCCTACTCTCAAGGTTACGCATCGAGTTGAAATGCGGGGGTCGCGTTTACAATAGAATGAGTATTTACTAAAACGTTTCAAGATTATGTTCGAAGGGGATCCTTCCCGATCTAACGACGAGGTAACACGGTGTGCGTCTTATTTCTTCTGGATTACTATAACCCGAACTTTACTTTACTTTACTTTACTTTACTCGAAGGGAATTCTTCCAGAACTTGCCTCGTGGGTTTAAGATATAGCGCGACGTAACTTCAACGTGTATTCAAGAAATGAGCCCCCCAGGACAGATAGAGAGGTTTTATAACTAATAGCACTGAAAGAGTTGTGTAACTGTTATTAAAATGAGTTGGTTGATTACTATTTAAGAGGGAGATGTTGTGGTCTTCTAAGAGTTTTTCAATCATATGACCTCTCTGGTCAATTTTATGTGAACCTCATATGTAATGACGGGTAATTAGATCACCTATTAGTATAAAAGGTTTAGGGAGTTGATTAATTAATTTTTCTAATTCTTTTAGTGGTAAGGCGTAACTATTTGGAATGTATACGTTACAAATAGATATGCGGGCTGACACAAGTATAACACTAACAGCTGTAGCTTCCAAGTTTGTGTTAAGAGAAATTTTCTGAGAGGTTAGATTTTTTTTAATGAAAGTAGAAACACCACCACTGGCATGCTAAGGTTAAGTGCGATCTTGATAGAAGGAGTCGTAATGACGTAACGATGGACAGTAATTATTCTTAAAATTAGTTTCTTGCAGGCAAATAGTAGTAGGATTATGTTTTCTTATTAGAATGTCAAGGTGTACTCTTTGTGGAAATAAACCGTTTATATTCCACTGCAATATAGATTCACTCATTGATTGATCGATTAACCTCCACTTCCATCTTCCAAGCACAATCATCCATACTAAGATCGGAGAAGTCATGTATATTATTTGAAAGTAACGTCAGTTTTTTAATGAGCCTGGTATATCTGTTCTTGATGCTTCTATTCGTAAGGAGAGGGTAGGTTTTACGAAGAGTAGAGATGATTATATTCGTATTATCGGAGAATTCATGACAAATTTCTTTAATGTCGTTGCATCCTTTCGTCTTTTTCCATGAAGCTCTTTAGTTGTATGTAATTTAATAGTTGTGGGTTGTTATTTTCTGCAAGGTAATCTTTTAGCGGAGATAGGAGTTCATCAATAGAGACTTCTGTGGTGTTGTCAATATTTCCAGAGTTATCTATTTTAGGTTTCTTCTTCTTGACGGGTTTCAGTTTAACTTCTTTGCCGGTTTTTTCATTGGGGAAATCGTTCGAGTTAAGGTACCAATTTGATTTATCGTCAGATACTTGTGAAGTTGAATTTACGCTGGACTCGTCGTTGATAAAGGTCTTTTATAATTTTGCGGAATTTTGTCTAGAATTTTATCAACTTTATTCACATTTTCTGGTGGCTTTGGAAGAGATACCAACAATTGAGTTTAGACATCCTTTTGATTTAGTTCTATAGGGTTTGGATTGTTATTTACAACTGTAATATTTTCTGTACAGTCTTTAGCTAGATGTCCAGATTTCTTTTGCAGTTAAAACATGTGACAACATCAGTAGAGATATAGTGGGTGTAGAACGTATTCGTACATCGATCAAGTTCCCAAAAAGCTTTTGTGTGAAATTGTAGTTTATTAACTTCTTTTTTTTTTATAATCAATGATATTCTACATATTCTCCGAGATCTCTAGAATATAGTTTAAACAAGCCCTCAGGGGCTGTAGCAGTGTTTTTAGCTACAGTACGGGCTTAGCAATCCCGAGGTACCCGAGCTAGACGGGGTCAGCGGGCCGGCGACGCAGGTATTCACCGGGCATGGCTGCTTCGGTGTCTACCTGGATCGCAAAGGGAAGGAAGCGACGGCAGCCTGCCACCACTGTGGCGAGGAGGAGGACTCGGCGCAGCACACGCTGGAGAAATGCTCCGCCTTTTCAGTGCAGCGTCGAGTCCTAAGATCTACTATTGGACATGACCTCTCGCTCCCAGCAGTGGTTGGGGCTATGCTGGGTCTCTTTCTGCGAAGAGGTTATCTCGCAGGAGGCCACAGAGCGGGATCGAGAGTTGACCGATCCCGCTCGAAGGAACCGGGGGCGGCGGCGACCTGGCAGAGGTCACGCCGTTGGGCCCCCGGATTGATGAGGGCGGCTGGCGGCGGGGACGGTTGTAGACAACCTCCGCCGCCAACTGATCACCGAGGTGAATGGTGACGGAAGAGGGGGGGGCGGCAAGCTGAATGCCGACCCCCCTGGCGATCGCGCTACCTAGGGCGGGGGCCCTTGGTATGCTAGAAATGCGGCCTCCGAGATGTAGCGGTGCGGAGCGCGGCCTCCCTGCACCGCAGATTAGAAGGTGGAAAGGGGGGACAGAATCTTCTCCCCACGGGACGTGGCCGGCCATAAGCTACCAGATGGCCGGCCTAGGCAAGGGGGAGCCGCGGCAGCGTTCTATAAGTGATCACGCGGCTCCTTCTGAATCGCCAGTGATGGTAGAGCGTCCGAAGGTCACCGTGGAGGTTTTAGTGGGTATAACCCCACACTACCGGGTGGCAGGTGTCTGTTATCAGATTTCCTCCACGTAAAAAAAAGGGGGGGGGGAGGTCAGCGGACCCCTACAGAATGTGTTGAACAGATATGTGAAGGATCGTCGATGCGAATTGTAAATGTAATGAAAAAAAAACACATATGTGTAAAACTGATAAATTGTAAAGACGTATGTGTAAGACTGGTGAATTGTAAACACACATGTGTAGAACTTGTGAATTGTATAAGCAAGACCGGATCAAGAAAAGTGTTAATAGTCCGACAGGATTATCACTCAAATATAATGTTACAGGAAAAGTGTAACTGATCCATTAGGACCACACTATAAATAAAGAAAAAGAAAGAAAAGAATAGTTCAAACAACAATTACTAGTTTATATAATTTGCGAAATTAACAAGAAAATACGAAAAATTGGTAGAAATATAGAAGCAATAAGTATTCGCACGGTTCTTATGACGAACAATTTACAGTAGAATTTCTAACATAAGCACATCAGTTTATTGCTTTGTGAAAAGACTTTAAAAATGTTCTACTAAAAGAATGAAAGAAGATCCTACCCCGAATAACATCGACATTTGTGATAGTTAATTTAATGCCTAGAAGAGTTGCAGTAATTATAAAATCAAAAGGAAATCCAACGAAGTATTAATTATTTATAAATTAATGTAAATTTAGTTTTTTTTTAAATGAAATTTTAAAAATTTAACACTTGTACGAATACTTTGGATTGCTTTGGATTTCTTATCGATTTATTGTTTTTTCTTGTTGATTTCTCACTTATACAAAATACCTAATCTTTTCGTACTGTATCTATTCTAGAGATTTCCAAGAATATGTAGAATATCATTGTTTATAAAAAAAAGTTAATAAATTACAACTCCACATAGTTTTTTTTTGGAAATTGATCAGTGTACGAATACTTTCTACACCCACTGTATATATCCAGAAAGTAGTGTCTTCGTATGTTATTTTTATTGACTCGGGTATCTTGCTTACATCGTTGGGATGTACGTAAACTTGACGACGGAAACTCATAATATGAACGAAACCTACATCAGATAGTCCTGCTCGCACGAAGGTGATAGAGGATCCTAGCCTAACATTGAGATTTGTTAGATGTTGTTTCAAAATGTAATGTGGAATGATAGGGCAAGCATTTGATAAGATAATTCGTTTAAATTTGGTGATTAATAGTCGTACTTTTAGAAGCGTGTTTTCAATTTTAATTGTATCATTGTTCTCGGTGAGTTTATTTACTATTTCTTGACTTCGTAAATACATACAAACTCTGTTTTTAGAAATTCTGGAAACAAATCTGATATTCGATGGGTTAATCAGTGATACTATGGTTGTTACGTATTCTTTTATAGTGATGCTCTCCACAGCATCGATAACAATAGTTTGATTTTTGGTTGGAAAAGTATTAGCTTGAATAGCAGATGCATATGTAACTGTTGGTTGATTTGATCGAGTCATTGAGTCTTGAGTATTTTTATGGTTCCCGTAGTCAGTTGCCATCAAATTGTTATTTAAGTGCTCGTAAAAACACTTAAACAATAGTTCTATAAGAGTAGCACACCACTAACGATTCACTAAATGTTTAACTTGAGCAGAGAAAGTGTATCACGCACAATAGATAGATACTCGCGAAACTCGCGTACACACGTAAACACGTCCGCACTGTGTGACGGCTAAGAGCGAACTCCAACTGGTGACAATGTTTACACTATGCAACTACAACTAATCTTTAATGATCGTTTAAATGCTATGATAAGGTATAACTCTGCATCATTGGTTTTAGTTGACACCTTTTGCCACAAAAAAGTTCGAAATGATAATGCTTTTAAAGAACATGTGGTTTATAGTAGTAACACTGGGCTCTCTCGGCAAATATATTGCTTTTTGGCAACAAGGTAAATTGGTAAGTTGAACTAATGATTGCCAGAGTTGAGTGCACTTGACAGAGTCTATCTAAGAATAATTTTGAATTTAGTTAAAAGCATTTATGGATAATGTAATCCACGATTGGAATTCAATGGACGAAGAGGAGCTGAAAATTCTTAAGAAACACGCCAATATTGGAAGACGTTATTCAACGGTTTTCGCATGTGAGGAATAATCGTGAATCAAAATTGCAGTGTCCTTGTGTTTGCGTTTCTGCAGCAACCTACCTATTACAGTATTTATTTACCCGGCGATATTCCTTATCGCGGCATCTCACTTCACGTCGGAACTTCTGGACATTGTAGCGCCATTGAACGAAACGCGACTTCATATGTTTCCAATATTAACGGAGTACTTCATAGACCAACAAAAGTACTGCTATTTGATCGCATTTTGTCAGAGCATGATGACCATACTATCTGGAACTACGTATGTTGCCACCGAAAGTATGATTACGATGTTATTACAGCACATTTCTTCGTTGTGTATGATTGTTAGGTAAGATACATCTACTTTGTAATGATTCAATGCGATAATGATACGAGAATGTTTAAGAGGACTGTAACATTGTTCGGGTGTTTGTTCTATTAAAAAAAAATACTACATTGTTACTATACATTTGTCACATAAACTATGACAAGATTCAACAGAACTCAAATTTTCAATATATAAATGAAGGGAAAAGTATTAAGTTCTTATAGTAGCAACTATAAAAGTTTTTAATTTTTTGACATTTTGCAGTTACCGTATGCGTGAGGCAATTCTGGATTGTATTCCTGTATCTGGTGTCCATGAGAAACATTTCCATGGGATTAAGGGAAACAAGCTAATAAAATCTGTGGTACTGCACAGAAGAGTGTTAAAGTCAGTATTTCAGAAAAAAGTATTTGCTCGAATTGTTATTAATATTTGACGGTGTATTTCATAAGAAGTCAAAAAAGTTATTCATAAGAGCTACCCAGTTGAAAATATTGTGTTGTTTTGTATAGAAATCCATTGGTTAAATGTTATGTGTTGATTAGTTTACACAATTCAATGTAAGCTTAACTGAAGTTGAACATGTTGTCCGATCTCAAGAAACGTTTTACGTTAAAATATTGAAAAGTTATTAATCAATATAACATATTCTTAATGTTATCTGAATATCAACACAAAATGAGAGTGGATTAAATTCTCAGAGTCCATATTTAGCGAGTCGTGAATTTATTGTCACATTGAACATATTGAACACATTGTTTCCGTTAGTTTATTATAAAAAAAGACGTCATGTATTAATTGCATGACGTATGTCTTTACAAAAAAATTGCATTATTTAGGTTCAACAACATTTGTGAGCTCTAAAGTCATCAATAACAAGTGAATTTTATTTGGTTCAAGACACTCACGCTTCCCAAGACTTTTGTTTTAGCACGGTATATCACATAAGAATCAGTAACACTTAGAATTGTCGGCTTGAATCTAACTCACATTCTTGCTTAATTAATACATGATAAGACATAAAAGGGAAGGAAAACCAATCATCTCTATTTTATCAAGTAAATACGTATTTTCTAATGTATATTATTTAGTTTCCATATTATACAGGGTGTTAACAAATATGTGGGACATTTTTTCAGGATCGAGTCTTTATACAAGTACAAATCGAAAAGTCTTTTAGCGTTTTGCGATCTGAGGCTTCATTTTTGAGAATTAAGCGACTGAAATTTACAGGTGGACTTCCGGCGCGAGCTGTTTAAATCTCTGTCAGCTTGAACGTGTGGTCGCACATGGACGCACTCACACGCGAAAAAGACACACCGATGCACACTCACTTGTAAACTCCCGGCGTCCATAGTGCCATCGGCGTCGAAGGAATGAAACAAACGAGTGTGCATCGGTGTGTCTTTTTTGCATATGAGTGGGTCCATGTGCGACCACACGTTCAGCTGACAGGGATTTAAACAGCCCGCGCCGGAAGTCCACCTGTAAATTTCAATCACTTATTTCTCAACAATGAAGCCTCAGATCGCAAAAGGGTAGAAGACTTTTCGATTTGAACTGGTATGTTGATGCGATCCTGAAAAAATGTCCCACATATTTGTTAACACCCTGTATAGAAGTTTTGTAATTATAAAATACTGTAAGTAATTATTATTACAATTTTGCTATGGTTACTGACTATTTATGTTAGTTTAACGTCGTTAGTTTAACGACGTTTTAGAGTTATTATGTAACTTATAGTTATGTTTTAGAATATCATGACAAAATGTAGATTTAATACATTTTTCAAGTTAAGTTCAAAACTACAAGTTCGTTAAACATACTTAAAAAAATTGTTAAAGTTACCAACTTTTTATTATAATAAATTCAACATAGAGATTTCATTATCGATTGACATAAGAATGGTATATTAAATTAACACACAACTATTGGCATTACCGCTTAAGACATATGATTTATGTTGAATTTAACACAAAATTTTCAACAGTGTACGTCAATTATGCTAAGTCTCCAAAATATTGTATTTATTAACAATCTTGACAATTTCTCGCCTGTGAAATTTCCGAACTCCAACTTAATTTTCAAAAAGTATTTTTTCAATTTCATTCGTGTTACTCTCTCTTTTTTTTCTTAGAGGTTTTCCATCGATTTGATGTCTACCGTTGCTGTATCGTATTCTCTTCTTCTAATACTAGGTGTTTTGTGTCAAAGCATTATGTTATTTCGTGTAAGTCTGCTTTCCTTTGTGCCTAAGAAATTCAATGACTTTTGAGTTGATCCTTACGATTTTTCAGTTATCACAATCAATATTTCTGGTAAATCGGATAGGAGAGACACTATTATCCATAGTGACAATTACAGGAATACTTGGATACATGTTTTATATGAACTTCATGGTGCAACAAGTGGTAGATTATGCCAATAATATTTTTACATTTTTGTAAGTATCATTGCACGTCTACAAATAACGTCTCAATGTATGTTTATTCAGTTGGACATTAATTATACTTGCCCAAAAATTTTCTTCATGCCACTAGCGTTCTAACCACACTCCCCCCCCCCCCAAAAAGGATGCCGTTTGGTGAAATGGAGATTAGGTAAAATTGTATGAAATTGTTTAGTAGATTTAATAGATTAATTAATGAATCGTGAGTTGTTCTATCCACAGAGCAATTCTGAAACCATAAATCTCCGGGGTTGTAAGGTCCGTTACTCTTGTGATAGCACCTCTTGTCCTCACCATTAGAGACATAATTTCTCACAAGTGCTCGGTCTGCCTAACGTACCTATATAGGGTGTCCCAGAATTAGTGTAAGAACGGGGTAGTTGAGACGCTTTTGAACCAGAATTTTCTTAGCAAAAATGTCGGATAATGCATCGTTTTTTAATTATTAATGAAAAATCACCAACCAATCACAGCGCTCAAATCGCGCACGCTCAGCTGCGAGGGCTCACATCCGTTGAAAATGAGAAATAATTTATACTTCATATTTTTTCAGATGACCGTAACAATATACCGTAGTTAAAAGTGTATTTTAGCTTAAATATATAGATGTTAGACACTTCGGTTTACAAAATATATTTTGTTACTTTCATCTTGTACAATAAATTCGAAATTCACAAACTTCGCACACTTCATTTACAAAAATGTAACTGCTAAGAAGTTGTTTAACTTATGAAAAATATGTTCCGTCATCACTATTATAAATATTTTTACATACAAAACACGTTCTTTTCATAGAATCATGCTTCTAAGACGATTTTTATCATCTTGCGACGTTAACCGATATCTTGTGAATTTGAGTATAATTGCTTAAATATCTCCGTTGATTATAACTGTGGCAAACTACTGAGGTATCAATCGTCACAATGTGTAAATTTGTGTGTGTTTGCCTGCATGTCGACTAGCGTGCTCTTGAACGAGCAGTACGAATTCGGTCTGTAAACGATATGCAATTAATAAACACAACGCGCATTTCTAGAAGAGCAGAATTTTTTTACAAATCCAGGACCTTATAAATCTCAGCAATAACTATATCGAAAAATGTTTAAGGTGAAAGTTACACTGTTTATTGATATAAATGAATTACAAGAATATATTGTTTTTTGGCATCATAGTTTCAAAATTTCAAGGTCATTATCATATTTTAGAAGGTAATTACCATATTTTTTCAATATTTTTATTTGCAGAAAACGATTAATCCAAGGACATATCCAATGCAAAATAAAGTTCACCCTAATGTTCATTCGCAAAATACATCTCTTCAAACGACATCATCGAGTATGTAAGATTTACAGCGTTTTATTAAATTTGCAGATATCATACGGATTGGTATAGAACACCGATATCAATTCAGAAGATGATTTTATTCATTATGCTGAAAACTTCTAGGCTGTCTAATACGAAGATTCTGTTCGTGTACAACCCATCTATTGAAGGATTTTCGATTGTACGTGTTTGTAGAATATTATATTCATCTGTAGAAAATTGCTTTCATTTCAACCAATAAGATATTTTTTCAGCTGTTAAAGACGACTATATCTTATTTCATGGTGATGTATTCTTCACAGTGAAAAGACAAATAATTTTGTTACATTCGTAGCACATTCTACATTATTGACCAGCGTTTGTATTACGTATTGGTTCCTTAAGCTCTCCTTCTCAATAAATCGTGTGTTTCACTGAAGGGTAATTTTAATTCTTTTGAACAAAGTCAAAGTGTGTTAATGTCAAAATCGGAAAATAATGCGAGCTTGTACCTGTTAGATTATTGTAAAACACATGTTAGCAGATTTTCTAACACCTGTATTATCAACAATCAGTATATACACTGACGGACAAAATTAAAGGGACACTTTTTAAAACGTCATATCTATGAGAGTTTTCAACCGATTTCGGAGAAACTTCGTGAGGAGTAGTTTTGAAGTGTCCTCTAAATGTGCGCAAAGTTGCATTGGCGAGGGTTGACAGGAAGGGGTTAAGTCACCCCCGTAAAGGGGGGCACGTCGAAAAACGCCACTTCTGAAGAGGCCAGGGGTGACGGAAGGGGTTGAAAAAATCAAAAAAACCTTTGGGGCGACCCTCCTCGATGCCCTCAACAAAATGCACCCCTCAAAATCTCTCTCGGGGAAACCCACCCCTCACAACACCCCATCCCCTCCATAATCCACAATTTTTGGACTTCAGTCCCGAATTTGGGCTCAATGCATTTCCTGGAATCTCCTGATCCAGGAAATGTCAACGCCCATGCCGTGCGCCCCATAGGCACCCCTTGAAAGGATGGAACAGTTCGCCACTTTTCAACACCCTTCGTAAGGGAGCACTTCCACACCTCGAAGGGCGATAAAATTCACCATGTTTATTCTCGGTGCATTAAGGATTAGTGTCATTTAAAGCTCG